TATCTATTTATCAGAATGCCACTGGCTGTGTTAAACTAAAATATGGTTTAACTGCTAGCTTTCCAGTTCAAAGGGGTATCAGACAGGGAGATGGTTTAAGAACATTCCTTTTCAATCTTTTCATTAATGATATCAAATGCCAGATAGAATCATCCAATAATGAACCTCCTTTACTTTTAAACAATCATTTGTCATGTTTGATGTATGTGGATGACCTCCTCCTATCACAATCTAAAAATGGTCTGCAAAATGCAATACGCACAGTGGAAACATACTGCAAACAATGGAAACTAGATATCAATATCAATACCGGCTTAGTATTCCAGGTTCTTCGCGTAATTAGGTGTTCGTATGCAAAGGATTTTTCCACACAAAAACGACGAATTAGGCCGAATTTTGTTATCGGTTGGCTTAATATAACCCCAATGGACCGTATTTTTGTGAAAGATTGGTATTTTTATCCTGATTTGTAGGAATCTGAAAAACGCGTTTCACAACTTGTCTCTTATTTAGTTTTATGCGTCATTCAAGATGGCGGCCCCCATATAGTACATATCGTATTTATGTTATTATCACGTGTGCGCAAGCTGACTGTGTATAACATGAAAGGGGTTACTAAACACATGCACGTTGGTGTTGGCTGCCTTATTACGGTGTAACATCAGGGAGCTGGTAACATTAACGCCATCTTGAAGTAAGGTATGTATGGGGGTCTAAAAACTAACTCTGCGACGCGATTGTGCGACTTGCCGAATGTCGATTATTGCATTCTGCGACAGGATCGCAGTGTCATTCTGCGAAGAGCACGATTCCCATTGGTTGGTTGGTCGAAAAGCACGAATCTCAATGGTCGATCGATGTAAGGTTACACAACATGCCTTATAGAAATGTTTAGTTTTAAATGGTTATTTCACCGACTGCTCGTGAACTACGGCAAACAAGTATTTACCGACGACATGCCGCACGGTTCGGTAATCAGCAAGTATTTAACATTGATTTATTAACATATATAACATCCTCCGGAGGGGTGAAAGGGGTTACAAAACACATGCACGTTGGTGTTGGCTGCCTTATTACGGTGTAACATCAGGGAGCTGGTAACATTAACGCCATCTTGAAGTCAGGTATATATGGGGTCTAAAAACTAACTCTCCGACGCGATTGTGCGACTCGCCGAATGTCGATTATTGCACTCTGCGACAGGATTTATGGTGGTAACTAAATATTCTGATAAATGGGAATCCTTCTTAACTTAAATGATGCTTTCGATAGTGTGTAGATCAGTTTAAGTTTTGTGAATAGTTGTACATAAAATACAATATTTTCCATGAAGTAGCTGTCTTGGAAGATGTATGCATATCCGGCAGCGCTGGTAAACTTTAACTCAAGTGACCTGTGACGTTGTTGGCCGCAGTTGATTTTTCCTGTGAACGGCGATTTTATTCTGCCTGTTACCATTTTCTTTTTTCAGGCTCTTCGATTTTGTTTACATAAATATAATATATATAGTATATAATATACTGCGTTTGAACAATAACTTTATCCACAACTGTACCATCAGAGAGGACTGTATGGTAATTACATAACCCATTTTGAAAGTAAAGAATGATACATCACAAAGCAACATTTGTTTTCCTATGCTCTATCCCCCTCTCCATTCAAGTTACTAACAGGTTGTGTTTTTCAGATTTATTGCTACTTGCATGGTACATAAAGAAACAACAGTCAAGAATAAAATGAGGTAAAGTGATTAAAGTGAGAATAGCTGTGATTTAGAATTATTGTTTGTTTGAATATAACCATATAAAGATGAACAAAACATTGTTTTAGACTCAGTTTCATGGGCAATATGATCCTACATAATGCTAATGTAGCCTGAAATGCCATGTGAAAACTGAGGATCGAGTACCCGCCATTTTATTGAAATCAGTCACACAGGAACCGTAAAAAATTGCGATGCACACTATGATGGGGAATAAAAAAACAAAATCTCAGGTTTGTATGGGAGTCTAAAAACTAACTCTGCGACGCGATTGTGCGACTCGCCGAATGTCGATTATTGCACTCTGTGA